CACACACACACACTTGGGCAACATGCTAGAAATATTGCTAATTGGGCTGATGTAAATAAGGAATGGTCATATTGGGACATAAAGAAAAAGTTGTAGAAGATGGAGTTGAACGATACCGCGAGGACAAGAAATTAATTGTAGACATTCTCAAGAATCTCAAGACCGGAAATCCCGAATTCGCGGAGCAGAATACCATAGCTCAAAGGAGGTTGGGATTATTCGAAATGGGAAAGAAACGCCAATTAAAAGGAACATTGCTGAATAAGCAAATGGTCACTGAAATCATAAAGAAAGCCAAAGCTCTGACGAATATAGGAAAATCTGGATAAGAGGAAATATGACCAAAGCTGACAGATAAACACTACTAAAGAAATTGGAAGAAATAAAGAATAAAAATTAACATAGGACTGAAGAGGAAAAAAAACTTGTTTATTTCGAGGGTGAGAGGTCTCCAAGCAAAGCAAATATACTATTAGAACCAACATGTAAAGACAGGCAAACATTAACCCTGCAACCAAAATCAATACCGAAAGATTATATAGATAGTTTATACAAATATTGATGGTTTATCTTCGAAGTTGCTTGAAGTAGAGACAAAAATTGATATGAATAAACCAATTTTGTTCATATATATATATATATATATATATATATATATATATATATATATATATATATATATGTTCATCTCTCTCTCTCTCTCTCTCTCTCTCATATACATATATATATATATATATATAATATATATATATATATATATATATATATATATATATATATATATATATATATATATGTATATAAATGCAGACACATTTATATATACTTATATGTACATAAATAGAGAGACAGATAGCCAGATATAGATATGGGTGTACACGTGTGTGTTTTGTTATGGAATAACATATATGCATACTAATAGAGAAATACGTTGATAGATAGATCAGTATAGATATGGCTGTATCTGTGTGCATTGCTATGGAACAGACGCACATATAAATTCATGCACATTTGACAATGGCCAATACAGTAAATGGATGCGCACCACAATCGGACAGCGGGAAGGAAGTAAGAAGGGATTCCTAAGGGAATCTTATTCTTGGGTGGAATGCGCTCCAGGGAAGATGCTCGCAGGAGCTGATCTGAATGGACATGTGGGCGAGGGAAATGCGGGGGAAAAGGTGACGGGGAAATATGGATTTTCTAACAGAAATGCCGACGGCTAGAAGACAGTGATTTTGGGGGTAGCAAACGCAGTTTATGAGGAAGAGACAGCAGGGGACGACAAACAAGAGAAGCCTTGTACACAAGTTGTTCATATCTTATGGAAAAGGAAAGGTCTGAAAGAAGAGTAACTGCGAGGTTAAGCAGAGTCGACATACATGGACCCATTGCGGATCCCAGGATCAGATGGTGAAAGCTGAAGGAACTATGGTGGAACCTTCAGGAACAAGGCGTATGATTAGGGAAAGATCTGCCAGCTGTCTGGGGGTGACAGAGGCAGCAAGAGAGGTGCTCGAAGCGCCGTGTGGGTGGGGCCTCAGGAGCAATGGTGGAGGAATAGATGATATACCGGCTAACAAGACATGTAGATTAGAAACAGTAAATTAAAATATATACATATATATAATATACATATAATACATATATATACATAGATATATATGTTTGTATATATACACATGAATAAGTAAAGAAAAAGCCTTGAAGATAAGCGAAAAAATTAGCGAAAGCCTGGCAGAGATGGCACGGCCAGGAAAGGCGGAGAGAGCTGGAGTATGCTGGAAAGAAAGTTCTTGAGATGGATGCACCAGAAGAAAGGAGAAGAAAAAGACCCAAAAGGAGATTTATGGAACGTGGTAGAGGAAGACATTAAGGTAATTGGAGTGACAGCAGGAGATACATAAGACAGGGACAAAGGTCCACTGTGTCGACCTCTAACATCTTTGTAAAATTCGAAGATAAAGAAGGATATGTACATGTATGTCTGTCACCTTTTTGTTTTGAAATGTATGTTCAATATGTGTATTTAGGTTGCTAGTACAACCCATGGCATAATTATTCACCACGTGACGCGGGTATGGCATGTGCGTACATGCCACGCCCATTATGTGTTGAAAATAATTGCTTTCACTCATAGATGGCTCTACAAGTACTCTGCCACTAATGGGCCAATTGCGAGAACTACCTATTTTACCTGATTAGCTTTTTCCTTGATTTTAGATATTTTCTGTTTAATATTGTGTTAGTAATGCTAAATCTCTAAAGCGCTTATGATGTTTATGATAAAGCAGTATCAGTATTGATAGCATTGGTAAAAAAGGGCGTTTTCCCACAAATTCAAAGAAAGGTAAAATCAGTTTGAGGTCATAAGGTCTACTAATTGACTTCTTTGTTGCTAAGTACTGGTAGAGCCATCTGTGTGTAGAGACGTTTCACAAGGCGATTCCACCGTGAACACAACCTTTTCCCGGTGGCAGTGGGTTAAATCAACCAGGAA